TGCTTTGTCCACAACGGAAGCCGAGTGTATGGCCGCGTGCGAAGGGGTCAAGGAGTTAATTTGGCTTCAACAACTTCTATCTGATGTTGGTTACGTTCAATATTCACCTACGATTCTTAACGTCGATAATCAGGGTGCAATTCGACTTATAGGAAATCCGGGATTGCATCACGGTACGAAGCATATTGATATAAGGCTGCATTTCATCAGGGAGCTACAAAAGAATAAAGCTGTTGAATTCAAATATGTCAACACTGAGCTGCAACGTGCTGATATATTTACGAAGCCCTTAACAAGTCAACGTTTTAAGAGTAATTTAAAGCTTTTAGGGATGTCGCATTTAAACAATGAGTGAGAGTGTTGAAAGCAACATTGTTTAATGGGAACACTAAATTGCAAAATCAACTTTCGTTAAGTTCATTAATACGTGGCATGTTTTAATTGGCTATTGTATTCAGCTATTTAACTTTGTTGTCTGACATTCCTAACTGTCATTTTTTTTTTCATATATAAAAACCTGTACATAGAATATTTTTTCTACTACTTCTTCGTTCGTTTAATATTGCAAATAAAACATTTACATATACTTGCTTAATTGACCTCGCCCGTCTATTGATTTAACAGGCCCCCTTGCGGTAAGCAAGCTGAGAAAAAAAAGGAGTCGCGTCTCAACCGTCACACGCACGTGAGGAAAACCTCAAGGACTAACTATAATATGCAGAGCCGATTTTGTACTGCGCGGGTCTGCTTATTCGCCAACGCTTTCGTCGCGACCGGCTCATCTGAGGCTGTGGAGAAAAGGACATTGTTAATTGAAACAGACGTGGTTTGGAATTTCAATGCACTTTTTTATTTAAATTTTAAGGTCTGTGTGTGTGATGAGTGTGTGTGCATGTGTGGTTTTGTTTTCTTAATCTCTACTTTTATGGTTGGCAGGCTCCCGAAACAACCAGACCGTATATGGTCGCCTGGACCAGGAGACCACCCACGGTGGATGGGGGGTCCCGCTCACCATCATCTGCGCATGCAAATCGAGGCCCAGTGTGAGGCGTATTGGTGACGCGCGAAAGAACTGCGGATCCGCCAAGCGCATGAACTGGAAAGGCGCCGCGACCTTAGGGTCCACGTTCGAAGGTGGACTCATACGTATGTGGTGGTCCAGCACGACCGCTTGCGTCGTAATCCGGTCGGAGTTGCCGTATCTTCTACGCGTGGCGATCGTGCAACGCTGAAGTCGTCCGGACCCATTGCGTTCCAGCTGGAGATCTCTCACTAGTTCCGAATCAACCAACGAGTTCGGTGCGCAAGGGTCAATCATTGCGCGGACCAAATGAAGGCGGCCCCTTGCTTCAATCCTCACTATTGCGGTCGGCGCGATGGGTATAAGCGCACGAATAATTGGCGTTGGTATTGCGCTTTGCGTTAGGCGGCCTGTTCGGAAGCCGGTAGGTGGAACGTGTTGTAGGGCACGATTACCATTTTTGTTCTCGTCGGAGCGGTTTTTGCGGTATGGTGTTGATTTTCGTAGTCTGGGCGATCGCTTAGACGAGCGGAAAGGACGAGTTTCCGCGCCGTCGCGTCGTTGCTGCTTACGCTGTGATCGTGATGACGGGCGGAAAGGACTTGTTTCCGCGCCGCCGTGTTGTCGCCAGTTATGTTGTGGACGCGTTTGCGAGCGGAAAGAACGAGTTTCCGCGTCGCGCCAGTTGTATTGTGCGCGGGTTGGCGAGCGGAAAGGACGAGTTTCCGCGTCGCCCTCGCGTGGTGGTAACTGGTCTAATCGTCTGGGGGTGTCAGTTCCCGAGGTGCGCTCTTCTCGCTCATGTGGGAAAGAGTCGAACCTCTCTAATCCCTCCACTTCCTCCACTTCGACCTGCTGCGCCCACGACTTCGTCTGCTCCGGAACGTCGATAGAGAGTGCCCCGTCCGAGCTCTCGCCGTCGTTGATCGCGTTCGCTGGTTGTCTTTGGTCTTCGCAGTCATCGAGATGGAGCGAGGTGTGATGCTTTTCGCGACATCGGTGGCATCGATCCTTGCTGCTGCACATGTCGAGGCGGTGGAACGGCGAGAGGCAGTTTGGGCAGTATTTATGCAGCAGGACTGCACGAAACCTTGCTTCGACCGCTTTGCCGTGGTAAAGGGGGCATAGTCAAATGACATGAGCTCCGCCGCATACCCGGCATGGAACAGTAAATTTGTCAGCGCGTTCTTCCGCATGAGCGCGATTGGCCGAGAAACGAGTCATTCTGTAAATGTGTCTCGTAGTTATGCCCGTAGGTGCAAAAAAAGAGAATCTTCAAAAATTTACATACTGTTGTTAGTTGGGTGGCAAGTGGCGAAAATCTTTGATTGTATAGCTCAGATTTGAAAGTACATTTTGCTATACTTATGTATGTATGTACATCCTTTTCCGTTTATCTCTTAGTTGCAATTTACTTTAGCACCGAACACATTTTCGTTGGCAAGTTAGCTATCATTGCATCTTGTTTGATGCACATGGAAATTCTACGTAAAATATTGTAGGAGTGCAAATTCTGTATTATGCTTCATTAAAAAATGTTTTGTGTAAACTTGGCATTACTTACGGGTTTGACTTTTCAGAATTCTCCCCAGGTGGCGCTCATAACATTATACTACGACGCAGTGCCGTATTGTAGAACGAGGAAAAAAATTCGGCTTAGTTATTAATTTACGTGGGGTTTCCCTTTAGTTTTATTTGGTTTGTAAGAAATAAAGGAGAAAATTTGACAAAATTAGAAGCATCTCAGTTCTGAGCAAAGTATGAAGATCCCTTCGTTTCGACGATATAGGGGTTCTTATATCGTATACGATATAGCAAACTCCTGCCTTCTGGCAAGGTTGTTATGTGTCAGCTGTTTGTAGTTCTTTACGTTTCTCCGTGTCAATTCGTTTTGTTAAATTATTGGGAGATAGATTGTTTATTACATAAAGATGGCGCATCCCGAGGAAGGATAGGAAAAACATCAGTGTGAATATCCGCTAGGGCCATTCTTTGCTTTGGTTGAGTCGACAAGCGTAATTTAAGCAACAGTGATCCGCAGAGCTATAGGCTTTGTTTGTGTGACAGCGGGAATCGTGT